AACTTTGCTTCCCCACAACAGATTCTGGTCAGAATCCCAGTGCTGCAGCCAAACTACCCAGCAGCTCCTGTGAGATATGAAGGAAGCACCCAACTAGGAAGGCTTAGGGGCAGAGCCATCCCATCTATAGGATGGTTTAGGGGTGGCTGCGCAAGACCCCACACTTTGGGGTTCTCGTGGTAGCCTCCTCAACCATCCTATAGAAATGTCCCAGGGAATTAAAGTGGGCCTGGCACAGGGCAGCAGCAGGAGTTGGTCCTCTTCCGTGCACACTGTGGTGGCGGAAACTGGAGCAACCTGACAGCCTGCTAGGCTCTGCCACACCCTTCCCCCTCCCAGCCTATTGCACCTCTCTTCTCTGTGGCAGCGGGAAGCAGAGTGACCCAGCTCCAAGGTTTTCAGCTTCCTGCTGTTGCAGTGAAGCAGAGCTCAGCAGGCTGGGAGAGGGCAGTGTGGCAGAGCATAGCTGACTGCCAGGTTGCTTTGTCTGCTGTTGCCATGGTAAGTGCAGGAGGGGGGCCAATCCCTGGTGCCACCCTGAGCCAGGCTCCCTGTAATTCCCTGGCACATGTTGCTTGGGGGAGGGGATGGAGCATGGGGGGACGTGAGGAGTAGGGTGGTGCCTGTGGTGGGGAGTTGCCTGGAGTTCCCCTTTATATCCAACTCTTCATAATGAGGAGAGTGTTGGGCTTCCTCTCAGATGTTCTCCATGGACCCTGTTAGGAGCTCCATCTTGTATATAAGTGTCTTGCTAGTAGATGTGTGATTGGATTTGCTGAGAAAGACAAGGGGCTCTTCCTTTGTCCCCTCACCCTGGTATTTTCTGTATACTCTGAGCAGGATGGGGGTGGGACACTGACTGTGAGCCAGTCAGAGCTTCCATTGATTGGCTCCTTTCCCCTGTGACTATTGGGGCTTGTGACTGTGGTAACAGGTACTGAGTTGTGGGCTCTTGCCCTTTCAGGGACTGGTGACCTTCGAGGAAGTGGCTGTGTATTTCACCAGGGCAGAGTGGGCTCTGCTGGATCCCTCACAGAAAGCCCTCTACAGAGCCGTCATGCTGGAGAACTATGAGAATGTGACCTCGCTGGGTAAGGAGTCCTGTTCCCTCAGTTCTTGGAAGGGGAGATTACCTAGTATGGTACACGTCACCCCCTACAAGCACCCTCAATTCTGTGCTGTTTCAGCACCATGCCAACATGCCAGTGACACAGATTAGCACTCTATCCTTTCCTGCTATAGTGAGCGATGGGGAGATAGAGCACAGGAGTATTTTAGTACAATGTCAAACATCTTGTGTTTGTTAAGGTAAGACTGGGGTTTAGGTATAGCATAATGAACAGAAGCGTCCCACCCCTGCCCCTCATTCAGATATGGAGCCTGCTCCACCCAAAATCAGCTTAGACTTGGAAAATAACACCACTTCTGAGGCATTGCTCTCCCTTGCCCCTCACTGAGCCCTACTAGCAGGTGAGGCACCAGGCAGCTGACAGTCCTCAGGGCAAGAATTGCTCCTTGTGCACCTCTGCTATCACAGCCTATGGCACTGAGTCCTGAAATGGGGCAACTAGGTCCCTCAAAGTTCACATGCACCTCTCTTTATAGCACAGTCACAGCTCTGCCAAGTTGCTCCAAATAATTCCTCTGCCATCCATTGACAGCTACAGTTGACCCAGTGCACAAAGCTAGGGGCCATGCAGATAAATGCTGGTATTCCCAGTAAAGATGTTAAGAGGCAGGTAATCCACTAATTGTGTAATCAATTAAATGTTTGACTACGCGATTAGTCAGTAAGGGAAGGCTTCCTCCGTTCCGGCTTGCACTGTGTCCAAGAGCTACCCCTGCTGCAGCTCTGCAGCTTAAATGTAATAAGACCCTACTGCGCAGGCAGCCCGGCTCTTACTACATTTAAAATGCAGAGGCGCAGCAGGGGTAGGCCCTGGACCCAGCGTGAGCCAGGATTGCTCAGTCCCAGCTCATGCTGGGTCCAGCAACTACTGTCTGTGGGGAGTCCTAGGCGGGAACTGGGATCCCCCCACGAATTGGGACTGCTGCTGCAAAGTAGCCCCTGTCCTCGGTAGGGATGTAAGGGACTAGTTGACAAGCAAATGCTTATCGGATAGTTGACTAGTGATTTGACTAGTCCAGGGGTGGCCAACCCATTCTGGATGAAGAGTCAAGATCTAGCTGGATCCAGCACGAAGAGCTGGGGCAAAAAGTTGTAGAGGAAACAAACAAAAAAAGGATTGGCCCTTTAAGAAGGCTTTTTGACGCTTTTTGGCCTCAGCAGGCTCCCGTCGGCGTTCACGGCCACCATATTGGATCCGTTTTGATCCGGACAGCTCCCTTACCCCAGTGAGCACAGGCGGTGTGGGGGTGGGTTTGTGAGCTGCACTGACGGGGGAAGAGCCGCATCTGGCTTGTGAGCGGTGGGTTGGCCATACCTGGACTAGTCACTTCCCCACCCCCTTACACTGTCTCTGTCAGAGAGAGGCAGCAAGGGGGGGGAGCAGGATCCCGTGATGGTTGGGAGAGCCAGCTTAAAAGCCAGTTCCCTCCCAGCACTCTCTCTGTGGGGAGAAAAGGGGGGAGGAAGCAGTGGGGAACTGGCAGTGCTTCTGCCTTTGAAATGTAGCAAGACTCTTGCTACATTTCAAAGGAGGACATGCCCATATTGACTAATTGAATAGTCGATGCAAATTATATCGACTCTTCAATTAGTTGATTAATCTAAATTTAACATCCTTAGTCTGTGGCCAGCCCCTGCCGCCACAAACAGAGGCTACTCTGGCAGTAGCCCCTGTCTGCGGGGGATCCTAACCTAGGCTTATCTGGTAGTAGACTACTCGCTTACATCACTAATTCCCAGCTGTGCAACTCACACAATGGCATGTTCTTAACCCTTCCTCAGATCGATGATAGATTGGTAAAATTTTAAGGCCTTAAGGGGTCATTAGGTTTAATGTGATCTATGTCAGTCAATAGAATTTCATCCAGGTACTGCAGTACTGAGCTTAAAATCTTGTATTTAAATCATCTTGAAAGAAAATTCTTCAGTTCCTGTGGCAGTTTAATCTTTGTCCCATCCTGTCAGAAATATTCCCAGTGGCTCTTTCCCACTACAGGGTTGTGGGTGGGAACAGAATTAAAGTTGCATTACAGGGGTGGCATATCCATTAACTTCATGTTCTGGTTTGCAGAGATTTAAGTTTAACTACCGCCCATGTGGTGAAAGGTATGAGACAGCCCCGAGCAACATGCCCGTATTTTTATTCAAACACAGGATCTTGTTTGTGTTTTCCTTTAATTGCCTTTCTTGATGATTTTCATAACCTCTTCATTAATAATTGGCTCAGTATGCAAACTGGGATACCTCCCCCATCTGTCTTTTGCCTTATTCTTAGACTGTCAGCTCCGTGTGGCAGGGTCTCTTGTTCTGTGTGTCTAGAACATCCAGCACAATAGAATGATGATGAATGGCTGTGGCTATGAGCATTATGGTAATAAAAATAATAAATAACTGTGATTGGGATGGTCCAGGCAGTGGGAGGGGGGGTGTTGGAGAGCAGGGGAGTGTCCAGGTAGTGGTAGTTTTGCAGGGGGTGAGGGGCATAGGTTTGAGGTGAAGAGTTCCAGTGGGTAGGTACATCTGAGGGCAGGGAGAAGGAGATATTCCATAGAGTAGGGTCTGTAGGGAGTTGTGATGCAATGGAGGTCTGGAAAAAATGGCAAGGAGTTGGATCAGGATGTTAAGGAACTAGGAGGGTTGGTGGGAGTGAAGTTTTTGTCCAGGAAATGAAAGAATTAGCAGTGCTCCCATTGGGATGGAACAAGACTGCTTGGAAGTCAGATGCAAAAAATATTTGGGGCAGTGGGAAGGCAAGATGGAAAATTAGTTGGGCAGCAGGAAATTTGAGGGAACGTCTAGGGAGGAAGCCTGTGGACAAGGAGAGGAGAGAACACAAGGAATAGGTGCTCCCTGGGCCCAAAGGAGTGGAAAGGGTTGAGAACAGCAGATGGAAGAGCAGTAGGCCTCATGAGTGAGTGAGTGAGCTAGCTAGCTGCACACTGTCCCTTTCCTCTTTTTATGCTTATAAGAAGAACACAATCTTTTTCAGGGGAAAAGGCAATACATTGTGTTTATTAAAAATACAGTATGAAAAGCAGCACATGCATTTACACACACAGGTCATGCAGATGATTTATAGTTACCAGTCTATCATGGCTCAAGTCAGTCTTACCAGCAAAGTAAGATTGAGCATGAGTGAAGAGTTGGGGTTAATCCATCGCAATTTGTGTGTCTGCAGAGTCTTAGCTTGCAGAACTGTACCCAGAGTGTCACAGCAAGAACACCCATTTTATACTCATGCAGTCCCATTTGAGTCTGTGGGTTTTGCAGTGTCATGCTGCAACCCCTCATATGTTAATCTTGGGGTTTTCCCACAATTATCCTTTGATGTTTATGGTCAGGCTTCATTTTCTCTTGTTTGTGGTCTCACCTTTGGGAGTGTCTGCCTGTCTCCAGAGCTTGGCTGTTCTGCTAATTTGTTCAGCTTCTGGCACTATGGATGTTCTCTGATCATCACCATGTTTCTCACATCTTCTTGACCACCTGGACATGTATGATAGCTTTCACACACATCCTCCGCTCACACCAAACAATCTACAGAGAATTTCCTGTTTAAACAATCAGTTTCAGACAGGATTACATACTTGCTAGAAGTCACAGTTTAGTTTGCAATGCAGACAAGAGGCACAACTTAGTTCTGTAATGCTAAAAAGAAGCAAGACCTTGCAAGAAACATTGTCTAATCATAAGAGTCAAGGTGATACCGAAATATACAGAACTTACAAGCAAGTCATTACATAGGACTTATTACTTATAGCAACACTAAAATACTACATTTTGGCAACATTCTCTCAGTTCCATTTCTCCCACCAGGTGCCTTTTCCTTGTGCCTTTTCCTCTCCTAGAATGGAATTCTACAGTTATTCCTGCTCCTAGACTCAACCGGGTTATAATACCTTTTGGCACGAATATGCACTTTCTTGGTTATCTGTCTCTCTCACACACACACACACGCTCAACATCCCAGTGTATGAGGGCAAGGTGAGAATGTATGTTTGTTGGCAGTGGGAAAACAAGGTATCATAGAGTAAGGTTTCCATGGAATCGATAGCGAGTTTCAGCTGGCCTGACCCATTCGGTGTACCCCAACTTCCGGATCTCTTAACCTGAATTTAGCCTTCTGTTGACATGATTCCTTTTAATGACATAATGTTTGTTAATATTATTGCATCAGAGGACAAATGGAAAATTGCAGATAGATGGCCAATGATGTTCAAGTGTGGCTGCCAGGCAAGGCTGAAGTTATTCAAATTTTGCCACTTTGAAGGTGTCTTCCTCTGTAATTTTTAGTCCATGCATTCAATGAAGTGAGGTTTTGCCCATGAAAGCTCATGCATTTACACACACAGGTCATGCAGATGATTTATAGTTACCAGTCTATCATGGCTCAAGTCAGTCTTACCAGCAAAGTAAGATTTTATGCTGAAATAAAACTGTTAGGGTGCATCTAGATTGGCAAGATTTTGCGCAAGAGCAATTGCTTTTGCGCAAAAACTTGCCAGCTATCTACACTGGCCACTTGAATTTGCACAAGAGCACTGACTTTGAGCACTGAAGCTGGTCAGTTTCAGCAGCGGTGGACGTCTTACCAGCAAAGTAAGATTGAGCATGAGTGAAGAGTTGGGGTTAATCCATCGCAATTTGTGTCTCTGCAGAGTCTTAGCTTGCAGAACTGTACCCAGAGTGTCACAGCAAGAACACCCATTTTATACTCATGCAGTCCCATTTGAGTCTGTGGGTTTTGCAGTGTCATGCTGCAACCCCTCATATGTTAATCTTGGGGTTTTCCCACAATTATCCTTTGATGTTTATGGTCAGGCTTCATTTTCTCTTGTTTGTGGTCTCACCTTTGGGAGTGTCTGCCTGTCTCCAGAGCTTGGCTGTTCTGCTAATTTGTTCAGCTTCTGGCACTATGGATGTTCTCTGATCATCACCATGTTTCTCACATCTTCTTGACCACTTACGCCGGCATATCCAATAATCCGGGACCCCCTGGGTCCCAAAGGTGCCGGATTATCGGAAGTTTACTGTACCAACAGGAATGTTGGGAGCAAGACATAAAAAGTCATTCTTCCATTCTACTCTGCTCTGGTTAGGCCTTAGTTGGAGTATTTTGTCCAGTTCTGGGCACCACGTTTCAAGAAAGATAGACAAGTTGGATAAGGTCTAGAGAAGAGCAATAGAAATGATTAAAGACTTAGTTCTGTAATGCTAAAAAGAAGCAAGACCTTGCAAGAAACATTGTCTAATCATAAGAGTCAAGGTGATACCGAAATATACAGAACTTACAAGCAAGTCATTACATAGGACTTATTACTTATAGCAACACTAAAATACTACATTTTGGCAACATTCTCTCAGTTCCATCTCCCAGAAGGACTGACCCATCCTAGCACAGGCCTTGTCTACAATGGCATGTTTTGTCATCATATTGTTCTCCTTGTCCTATCATCAGAGACCAAGAAGCAATGGGCTTAAATTGCATTTCAGGCACAGCTTAGCTATGAACTGGGCCCAGAAGGACTGACCCATCCTAGCATAGGCCTTGTCTACAATGGCATGTTTTGTCATCAAAAACTGCCTTTTGGCAACACAAACCTTTGAGCATCCACATTACAGTGTGATACCGTGACATAGTTGTTTTTGTTGATAAAACTTTCAGCCCAGAGAGGGACTTCTGCTGCTGCGCTGTCAACAAACCATGTGTGCTAGACTGAGTTTTGTCAATTTTATTGGTCTCCAGCGTATTTCCCACAATGCCATGTTTAGCCACTCTGGATGTTACCTTGAACTCGGCTGCCTTTCAGCTATGTAATTTTTACAAATAGAGATGCTCCCCTCCCACCTGCAAGCCCTGGGAAATTTAAATCAATTTCCTGTGGCACATTGTGTGTTGGTCCTCATTGCATCTTCTCTAGGAAACAAGGGTGGTGGCTACTGTTCGAAACACTCTCCTTCTTGAAGCAGTGCAGCACTTTTGGATCTAATCGGTGTGTGGGGTAAATAATCAGTGCAATTGGAGCTGCGAGTGACCCGTAAGAACTGGGACATGAATGCTTGCATTTCTCAAGCCCCACATATAAAGGGGTATAAGCGAGACACCCTACAATACAGAGCCAAGATCAAGGAACTCCATCAGGTCTATCACAAGGAAAAGGAGACAAACATCTGGTTTGGTGCTGCACCCAAAACATGCTGATTTTTATAAAGAACTGGATGGAATCCTGGGTAGGGATCCCAAGACCAAACCCCGGGACACTGTGGATAGTTTTCAGAGAACAGAGCCAGAAATTCTTGTCCTGGCTACACGAAACAAATTGATGAAGAGACTGAAGAGGGCCAAGAGGTGAGGGTCAGTCTGGTGACATCCTGAGCACCCAGCAGCAAGGAATTTGTTCTCAAATTTGTGAGGATGCTCAGCAATTCATCATTGAAGAGACGCCACATGTTGAAGCAATGGAAGGGACACAGGGTACATTAGTGTGCAGGCATTGTGGGTTGGGGCTGAGCAAGTGGTGAACATGCAGGGCAGTACAGAGGTGGTGCCCTAGTGAGTAGTGGCTGTGCAAGCACCTTGGATTGGGGGCTGAGTGGGCGGTGGCCATGCAGGCCGGTAAACTGCTCTGTGCAGTTGGAGAGGAGAGAGTGGCCATATGGAATGACCAGAGGCTATATTTCTATGAGCTGGCCAGCCCTCCCTGTGTCTTGTTTATGGCCAAACACAGCACTGATACATGCATGAATAGTGTTGGAAACCAAAAATGTAGACACCACGTAGATTCAAGCATGAGGGTTTATTACACACAGCGCTGGTGGAGAGCCACTTGGGCTCAGTGAACACTGCCAAACAAATAATTACAATAGACTATTTTGGGAGCTGATGGGTGGAGGGAAACGATGAGGTGGGAGTTCTCGAGCCCCTGGATAGGTTCTAGCAGCAGGGCATTATGTGCACAGTAGGGGTACGTCTAGACTACATGCCTCTGTCGCCAGAGGCATATAGATTAGGCTACCAGACATAGGAAAATGAAGCGGCGATTTAAATAATCGCCGCTTCATTTAAATTTACATGGCTGCCGCGCTGAGCCGACACA